GAGTAAAAAAAAAAATAGCTGTTTGGACTTTGATCTCTTGCAACTGAATAAACTAACCACTCCCATCCTTAATTTTCGTCGAAAAATATGATTACGATCGATGTTTCAAAGGTACTTAGTACGCCCGAGTCGAGTAAAAAGAAAAAAAAAAATGGCGAAAAAACGGAAGGCCCAGAAGAAAATTGTTTACCATGTCCCATTTCTGATCAAGAAGATCTTCTACTCCATTCTCTATTACATCTTCATACATATTGTTGCATCACATGACTCGAACGTTGTCAATACAAAAAATGACGTCTCCATGTACATGTGTCACGTTTTGTAGTTCACGAGAGAATGTAATAGAAGACCACGAGCGATCACCAGAAAAACGAAAAAACAATTACGAGAATGATAAGAGAGATCAAGCAAGCGAGGAAAATTAGAAGAAGCTATGATGGAAAATGGAAAAATTTGAAGAAGATCAATGAAAAGAAAAGAAACTTGAGCCAATCTAGATCAATGAGGAAACCGAAGAAGAACCCATGGTTGAATTTGACGGGTCAAACCAAGAACCAAGATTCGTCGTGGCCCACAAAAGAGACGAAGGATCCGACCCATTAAGCTGATCCATTGGACTCGGGTTCCCCAACCCAAACCCAAGCCCAAACCCAAACCCGTTCCCCCCTTCCACCTTCACATCTTTACTATTACCAGTAACTTCATTTTCATGATTATAAGGCATCAAACCCGATGACCCATTACCATGAGCTCCGAATCTCTGCTGCTGTATGGTGGAAGAAAACAAGGACCCGAAACCAGCCGAAGATCCGAAAACCATCGAGCCGTTGCCAGCTGTCGACGAGAAAGGCGGTGGTGGGCTCGAACTCGAACCCAACGGCGGCCCATTCACAAGCCCAGATGAAAACCCTAGCCCAAACCCGTTAGCCTGAGGCCGAAAATCGAATCCCGGATTCTCATCGCAAACCCTAGTCGAGCCCAGGCCGGAAAACGGAAAATTAAGCGGGTCGAGGAGGTTATTCCCCGTCCGGAGACCGTAGATCAAGGGATTATGGGTAGGCCGATCCGAAGGTGGGGACGGATTATTATCATTACTATTATTTACCTTGTTAGGGTTTGAAGCCGCGGGTTGGGCGGCGGAGGGAGGTCCGTCCGGCGGCGGCGGCCGCTTGGGGCGTTTGTTCCGGCGGCATCCGCCGCCGACGGGGACGTTCCGGAGGGTGCCGCCGCGGGTCCAGTAGCGCTTGCAGGCCTTGCAGAAGTGCCTGGGCTGGGAGAGGCTGTAGTTGTTGTAGTAGCAGAACTTGGTATTGGAGGAATTGCAGCGGGGGCACTGGAGAGGAGGGTGCTGGGTCTGGTTGTTGTGGTTGGGGCCTGTTTGGACGATTCGTGTATCGGCCGCCGCCATGGCTGGATTCGGTGCAGACGAGGATGACGACGAAGCCATGAATCAGGTGATGATGATATCACATCGAGTAAACGAGGACAAAGAGGAGAGAATGAATGGGGGAAAAAAAATGAAGATGGGGAGAATTTTAGGGTAAAAATTAAGACCAGAAAGTTGATATTCTAAGACAAGAGCTAAGAAACAAAAGATGGGTCATCTTTTGTTGAGCGCAATAATAATAATTGAGAGAGAGAGAGAAATGAAAGGGGTGTGTTGAGTG